ACTCTGTAGACTGCACGCCCGCCCTCAGGCTGACAAACTGCATGTGCTGTGTAGTCTGTTGTAGACTCGATCTCGTAGCTCATCAAGGTAGATAGCAGGCTCTCCCTCAATAACTGATCGCACGAAGTTCATATCCTGCATGTCCAGAGTGCGCGGCCGGCCTCGAGGTCTAGCATTCGGGTTGATGACTGTGCCGTATTCTGTGTAGAGTCGGAGAACTTCGAAGACTGCGCTTATGCTGCATCCCGCAAGCTCAGAAATCACTCGGAGTGTCTTGTTTTGCTCATGGCGCCAGACAATGATACGTTCACATAGTTGTCGAGTGAGGTGAACCATGGTACCAGCCAGTCGATACTTCAAGTTCGAGACGTCGATGAATGCTATCTGACAGTCACGCAGTCACAAGAAGCCATCTCGCATTACTGCATATGGGTATATTTGGCTCGAACAAACAATGCTCACGGAAACCCGATTTTCGGTTTCATATGCAAACGACTGTAAGTCCCGTCGTCGCCTGCAATTTGCTGCCGCTTGCCGAAAGGGGAGGTGATAAGATGTGATTTCAGTGAAATGCAAAGGCGGGGGTCTAGACCCGCGTCTGGGCTTGCAGATATTTGATAAGATCTCAGAGGCTGTGTCGGTGTTAGCCGATGCGTGCCTCTGCAATTGTGATTGGGCCTTGTCTTCCAACCCGGTCCCGTCATTCGACCTCACCGACGTTGCCAGTGTCACTCAATGTCATCTCTGCTTGTATTGTCTTGCTGCTCACTTGAGCGCAGAAATTAGGGTCGAAGGGGCCGTCCTGTGCTCTATCCAGGCCCCTACGATCGTTATCTGGTCCCTGTCCCATTTTCTCTCTCCTCGGCGTGCGCCTCCCGCAGCGCCCCACTGGGCCGCGCTTTTCGATCACACTGGACGGTCCGCGCACCCCAATACCGAGCGTACTCGCGGTGATCGTCGCTGCCCTCACAGCCTGTCTGTCATGCATGCGCGCGGCCGACGTGTACATACTGTATACCCCCCTGCGCTCGGCGCTTTCGTCGGACCGACCCGATCCTCAGGAGGTTTCCGATAACTGCTGCGCTCTCTCTGAAGGCTTTGCTCGCCGTCGGCGCGCATGACAGTCCCATAGTTGCAGAACGACAGGATCGCGGAAGGTAAGCTGCAAACAGCGGCGGTACGTGCGTCCAGGTATCAGCGCGCTTACGAAGTCGTATTTTTGCAGAGATGTATCTACACACTGCACCGCCTATAACTGTAACGTGTCCCAGTTATACGAATCCTCCCCGGCCGTTCCCTTGGTCAGTCTTGGTTACAAGTGTAGTGGCTGGTCTCATTTCGTGTCATCGTGGTTACAACCCGGCCGGTATACTGACCCCTCATCATATCATTCCACGGCCTCTACTCCGCGACAACCCTATCGTGCATCCGCGGCCGCAACCGCTGTGCTGTCATTGGTGAGATCCCATTTTCAGCCATGTACCTTTCCCAGGCGGCGACCAAAATGCTGCAGTTCGGCTCTGCGGGGGTTCTGTCCCCCGATTTCCGAGCAGTCTTCGCTGTTCAGGTCGGAGCTTCACCAGGCTTGCTAACCTGTCTGGGCAATATCGCTCCATGGAGTTTGCAAGCGCACGCCCCCCCCCCCCCCCGGCTGCGTCAGGTTACCTTTCTTCAAGACTCGCGCACGGGGCCCGGCTTTTTGTTTGTGCACATCACCGACTTGGAGAATGGTCCGGACATGCGCTCTCGCTCATACGTCGAGGAGAATGCCCCGCTTTTCTGGGCTGGCATTTACCGACGGTTCGGTGTAGTATGACCTCTCGGTTGCTGTAGAACACCTCAGCGCTGTCCTGGTGAGTGGCGCACGCGGTGAGAGTGGGGGTGTGCGATGGTCTTACCGAGCCGTTACTGATATTCCATGTCTCCGGGGACACACTAGGTGCATGACATCAAAAGGAGAGGTTGGCGTGGATGGTTCGCCGCCGTGCCAAGTCACTTGTGCCGTTCCGTCGCAAGGTATCGGCACGTTCTTCACGACATGGGGGGCGTGAATTCAGCAGCAGCAGGACGTCCATTGGCCTAGCTTAGGGCTATGACCGCTGCAATGCAAACATCGTTATTACGTGGCGTGGTGCCGGCGAACGACCCGTCGGACCGCTGGGCACCCCCGAGGAAGTCGAGCGCGAGCGCGCGCATGTCCCTCACGTCCGTTTTGTCGTAGAAGTCCTCCCTGTTGTTGTCCCGCACAGTCTTGATCCCGGACGTCGTCTTGCACAGCGCCGCCGTGAGCATGATTATCGAGTAAGCAGGACGTAAGAAAAACACATTGAAGACTTGAATCTGTACTGCGCGGTATGCGCGGCCGTGTCCTTGGTGATGAGCGTCGATATTTTAGCAATGATAGGCACCCACGCCGTGTTGACCGGTGTCGCCCCTTGGTATTGGTCGTATCCTTTATATCCCCAAGAAATATACGACTTTGCATCTCATTGAGAAGCTTATTTATGCCTGACGGAATGACCCCTGCATTGGTGGATTCGGTGGCAGGAAGGCTCTGTGCCGATTTCAGAGTCGTTGTGGGAGGCCGGGAATATTAATGGGTTGCTTACTAGCACCTTTTGCATCAGTTGCACCAAGGCGCAGGCGTCGCTGCCCGTCACTTGCGAGGCCTGCGCAGATCTCGCGGTGCAGGTGAATTTGGTTTTGTCAAAGGCGCAGGCGGGGTCTGCTACGCAGTCGCCACAGGACGTTATCGTTCTGCATGTGCGATGGGAGGCGGCCGGCGCGCGGCGCGACCGAGTTCGAGGGCGACCGTGGTATTCTCAAGCCCTGCGGACGCCGTAGATGTGTGAACCAGGTAGGGCGTACTCAGCATAAGTCATCCTAAAGCCACTTGCATTATCGAGTACGAATTCGAAAAAGGATATCACTGCAAGCTGACCATGCAAATCGAACTGACACTCCGTTTCAGAGGTCGGACATACTTGGAGTCCGGCGTGACGTACAACGGGAGATCTCGATTAGTATACTGTACCGATACGACCTTAGGCAACGCAACGGCTTACGTAATTCACCGTGGGAATGTGGCAGGTCAAGCAACGTCTCCGTCGGGACAAGGGACACATGCAACGCAACCTGCAGTTGCGCGTACTTACTAAGGTCAAGGTAATGCAGTGTTGATACACTCTTCAGATAGAGCTGAGGCTCAAATTGCTGAGAGAAGACTCAGAAGAAGCTTTAAGAGGGTTTCCAGAGCACCTGCGAATAAATTTCTTCATTTTTTTACCATTTAGCGCGGATTAGGCTCCGGGGGCCCCAAGCAACGAGGTGTCCGGGACACGGGACAAATCTCAAAATAGGCAACGGCGACGGACCTCTCGGGACACGGGACGTTGCCTAAGGTCGTATCGGTACAGTACAGTGTGGCACTGGACAAACGCGTTCCGCAAAGCGCCGACTAAGATGTGCGTGGCACGGCTGCCTTTCTTGCAATTACTCACTGCAGGGAGGAGACTACTGACGGGTAATCCGTAAGTTGTTTGCAACCCGGCGAGCACCTCTGTCTGTTTTGACTGTTGGCGCCACGTCCGGCTGGGGCAACTTGACAGGGGAAGCAGACATTGTTGGGTATATATTCTACTTGCTACGTAGCTCCCATCCTTCCTGTTCGACAGTATGCTCGATGTCCAGGCTTGTTACTAGTGAACATGGTATTAGAGAATCACAGAGCTTAGAGCAGCACAAGACTCTTTGTATTTCGTGCACCACATCTAACCAGGGTGTCAGAGCGGCGCTTAATTCATGGCTGGTTCACGGGAAGCGCCTTCTCGGGCACCGGAGGCGCTTCTACAAAGTGTAAGACGCTGTCCCCCATCCCCTCATCACCATTTCCACCACGCTGAAAACTGTTGCTGAAAGAGTCGACCGATGGGGCAAGAGGGGCGGGTGCCGCAAACGCTATCGTGGTCTTCGCCATGCTCGTTTGTTCAGCAGTTTTGCCAAGGGCAAGCATTACGATTATTAGAGTAGGAGATAGACCCTGGAAATATTGCATGAGACACGAGCTATAATCATGCCAAGGACCTTACCGCAGTTATGACGGCTATGGATGACACAATGGTCTGTGGAGCGCATGGGTCAAGTTACAGGAGTTGCGAGGGGCGGAGGATGAAACATACGAATGCTTCAGCGAGTCCTGTGGATGAAGAGAAACCTGTGGCTGTGGAAAGGAGCAAAAAGAGGGAATGAACGCCCCCGGATTCGATGCTGTGATAGAAAGATCAGAAGGAGTCTCGACTCTCGGATTTACTACATGTTTCTTACAACAAAGCGATAATTTTTCTATACAGATTTGAGTCGATGGCGGGGGCAGATTTTTTGATATCTTTACTGACCCATAGAACACGAAAAGCTACTATTGTGTGAGTTATTGAGTGCGAGATGGAATGACCTCTTGAGCGTACCGATCAATGCTGTCATCAGCACATTACAAGCGAACGTCATTGAATAGAACACCTCGCCGAGGTCATTCTGCAACTGTGAAATAGCTGCTACTTCCTCGAGCACCGCTGGAGATGGATCACCGGGTGCAGCGCTCGTGGCTACATACAAGAGATACCCCTTGATGTAGTATCCCCCTTGCACAAATCCCGCCACTTTTGATACGCGTCAGACAATATTTTCCCGTGTTAATGTGTGAGCTTACCGGTACCAGCGACGATCAGCAGCACGGGGAAGGCAATGATTAGCCGTCTGCGGCCCCAGATGATATAACACCGCCAGGTCTGATGAGCAGCCACGCATCATAAGCCAGATGTGCACGTCCAGCATGTGTGATCTTACCAGCAAACAATCTGCCACAACACTAAGATGTGTCAGAGCGATTGGCAGCATATACAAGGCGTGGATACATACTTGTTTGTCACTACCAGGAATATTCCGACAGTGGCCAAGACGTTATTGAGGTTAATGACGGACGCAGACAGTCCGTCCGGGCTTCCAGTTCCGTTATCCAGCATACCGCCCACGGAGAAAGACGATATGAGGACCAGGGTAAAATTGAGGGCCACTTGCGTGGCAGACAAAACAAATAGCAGCACGGTAACTGCCAGAAGTGACTTCGGACCGCTATCGGTGTGCCTCCTGGTGAAGAGCAAATGCAAGGATCCAGCGAAGACAACGGAATACAGGCCTAGCGCAGGTAGAGCAATTATACAGCCCCTGAGTACCGTCACCAGAATATGTCCGTATGTGCCGTTCACTTACCTAATAATAAACTTTGCACCTATGGGAGTGGTTTAGATAGCTCGTCTGGGAGAAGGGTGTGCAACTCACCCATAGCGAGATAAAATCTTGTCTCTGGACCTGTCGATCAGATGAGCATGTTGAATGAACCCATCCTGTGCAATGTGTACTCACCTGCAGAATACTAGGGAGAATGGGCATGGCTGCTGTAAAGGAATGCACGCGTTGAGGGGGATTAAGAGGAGGAAAGTAAGTCTGCCAGGCCCTGAAGGAAACGGTGTTTTTATATGCTTAGACGAATAGCTATGAATGAATGTTAGGACAACTTTCGATCGAGACCCGCACGCACGACGACATCCAGAACCTCCTTCCCAGTCTCATGTGCGGTAAGGATCTCGACTCTGTCTGAGTATCGGTGTCACCTCTGCTGGAACCTGGAACCTTGAGGTGAGATGGGTCAGTAGCACTATGAGAACCGGGGGCACTGGAGCGAGGGATAGTGCGTCGGAGATCATGGGTCATAGAATACTCTTGTCTGTCGTATGGACGAACAGAATGATCACCTGCAGTTCGATGATGACAGCAACAGTAATGTTCGACATTGTAACAACAGCATCATGCCCTGTATACGAGCAGAGAGCTCTTGGACGATCCGGATCCGTCAACACGTGATGAACTCAGATCACTTGAGTCCAACTGTCGGCTTGATGGTGATCGTCCCCAACTGTTTTGGCTTCTCCAGAGAGAGAAGAAAGCAAAGAGAGAGGAAAACCACCACCGAAGGGACGTGTCTCGTCAAAATAGTGAATGAGGTGAGCTTGAAGTTTGCCACGACTGGGCGGATCGGCTACGCATCGACACCATCAGTACCAGTGCATCAACCTGATATCCTCAAATTACTTGAATGGGAGCTGTTCCGGATGTTCGTGTCAAAATGAAGCAACATTAGCAAAATCTCAATGCTATAAGTACAAGCGGACAACGCGTGCCACCTTGACTCGGACGAAGTGCTGGTGTACGGATCACGTATACATCCCGATGCATCCCAACACTGTCCATGGAAGGAGACAGCGAGAAACATATGTAAGTCGTAACAGAACTGCAGCTGCAGCCACATTCGCAGAGAGGGGAGACGGCGACCCCGGGCACGCGACCGGCAATATCCGAGAACATTTGCCTTTTCCGAGCGGCAAACCCGCGATTTAGCAAAGATCACCGCGTTGATTGTCAGGAGTCGTCACACTATAGCGTCCGTCTCCACTCCGGGCCAGTATCCTCCCTGCTGTGTCTGTACTCCACCTTCGTAACTTTGCCTCGCTTTCCGCCTTCAGGTAGCTCGACATTCAGAAGAACGAATACTCAAACGTTCAACAACTCGTATACTGAAGCTCGTACATCAAGCCAACACTCCCTTTACTCATATCGCCATCTACGAAGATGGACCAGACCGAATTACACCACAAAAAACTCCCATCGAAGCGGTCGTTCCATAAACACCGAGGGCCCGGGCTAGGATTAGACTCGCCCGCGTATGACGCCTCGGAAGAAGACAATGACCCCCTCACTGATGATTCCGCGCACTCGGCATCGAATGGCGTCTCAGTAACAGTCAGTCGGGCGCAGCCAGCTCTCTCTTCCTCTTCCACGCAACGGCCAACGAAGTCTTCCCGGAATGGCGCGAGTTTAGGAGTCGGAAACGGGATAGGGGCATCTGGGCAGAGGAGGAGCCAACATCACCTCGCCGCTTCCCTCACGCTCTCTGACGACGGCGTCGAATCGCCCACATACGATGGGGATGTCGAATCCACGACGCACACCCCGACCCCGCATCATAGCACTTTGTCGGACGTGGACGGCGAGGCTTCGATCGTAACCTCCCACATCAATAATACCCTCTCACCCGCCTCCTCAGCATCGACCCTTTCACCCGTATCTGCATCTTCACCTCTTCCCGCATCTTCGAGGTCGCCGTCACCAGATGTTAGCACCCCCTCAGCATCCACAGATACCCAAGCTGATCCGCTCTCGCATCCGACGCTGTCCTCCACTACCTTGCTTAACCTGGCATCTGCCCCTATATCAGAGCCCACTCCGCCGGCTGTCTCTCGGGAGGCGTTTGATCCTGCGGCATTAACGCCAGCTGACATACAAGCTTTCGTGAAGGCTGCGATCGATGGTACGGATGGTACTGGCCGGGAGTATAAGATTAACCCACCACCGGAGGGCAGGCCGATCAGAGTGTACGCTGATGGTGAGTGGTCTATCTGTCATGTCTCGCATGGTGGCTGTGTGCGATGTATCTTGGAATATCCTACCTGCACTCTCCAATAAAGCGACGCTGACAGGCCCTTCGTTCATCTCTGCATAGGGGTCTACGATGTCTTCCACTTTGGGTGAGTTATCCTTCCAGGGCTATCTTCCGACCTTCGACGATTATCCCCCTGAACTCCACGATTGACTCACGTCCTCGTCCGGTACAGGCATGCACTCCAACTACGGCAAGCAAAGCTGTCCTTCCCATCCGTGCACCTCCTAGTCGGAGTCTGCTCGGACGAGCTCGTCGCACAACATAAAAGCAGGAGCGTCATGACCCACGCCGAACGGTACGTTCGCCCAAATTCCCTCGCATCATCCCTTCATAATAACTGATTCTCGCCTTGCCCTCAGGCTGGAGTCCGTCCGGCATTGCCGCTGGGTTGACCAGGTCGTGCCCTCCGCCCCGTGGGTGATTACCCCGGAGTTCCTCGAGGAGTATCAAATCGACTATGTCGCGCATGACGAGGAGCCATACGCATACTCGAGCGGGACGGATGTGTACGAGGATGTCAAGCGTCTCGGTGAGTAGGATTCTCTCCTGTAAACGTGAAGGGCGCTATGAGTGCCCTTGAGATGGAGGCAGAGAGCTAGAATGATGATAATACATCTCAGACCTGTACCGATCCCCGTCGGGGACGAGCGGATAACTGATATTGCTTAATTTACTGAATCTCGCTTTCTTCCTCCCATTTCACTCGCCATCCCCTTGCATCTCCCTTCCGTACCTTTCTCTTCACAGCCGACCAACTAACTACCCAACCATCACATTCAGGCAAATTCATCCCGACGAGGCGCACGCCGGGCATATCCACCTCCGCGCTGCTCGAGCGGATCGTCAGCGGGTACCGCGCGGGTGAGTGGGACAAGAAGCTCGAGAAGATCGGGCGGGGCGACTTGACGGCGGGGAAGAAGGAAGATAGCATGAGTGGGTCGGAGGACGGAAAGAAGGGGTGGGAGGTCGTTGAGCACGGGGAGTCTTAAAGGCCAGGTGCAAATATATATATGAGGGGAAGGAGGGCGATGTGCGCAATAGATTCATGGTGGTTTGTTGATATTGTATATTCGGATATTCTGCCTGGACGTATATATGTACGGCATCGTAAATAGTTCATACCTGGGATAGTTTATGGGCGGATTGCTGGGACAGTTTAGTCTCCACGGGTACGCGCTGTCGCCTATGGGCTCTTCTCAGATGAACAGATCCAGTTCGTTCTTGCTCGGCAATTCTCGGGTCCTTACTCCATACTTTCGGGCAACCGCGGCTGTAGCCTGGCGTCAAGATCGCGCAGCTTCAAGTTCTTGTTCTCCAGGTTACTATCTTGCCAGACAAATCGACATGGATGGGACCGCCGACGTTCGTAACCAGCGCATAGTATACTTAGTACAACAATCGGATGTTCCTAGTAAGTCGCAGATCACAAGCACATCCTGATCGTTTCTGTCGCTGCCGCAGCATTGACGCAAGAGAGAAACCTTGTAGCAACGGTCACCTAGGATTGGCATGACATCCGAGTCTAAGCTTGTTCCCTAGGCAAACCCATGATTGCACGCCAAGTGTTGGATGGACGATACTGGATTTCTTGTGATTAGCCCGTCAGGGTTGTCTGGGTCTTGTGATATCACGATGGCGGTCGTACATGACAGCTTGGTCGCGACCACTCAGGCTGTCAGTGGATTAATAATAAGTGCATGCCTGGTCTTCATCTTGACGATCACCATTCTGATCCTGAGTGGCTCGTCACCACAATATGTGCGTGTGTGGATCAAGCGATATGCTGATGATTTTGGCAGTGCGCGTATAAGAGATGCTGCAAACCTACGCCTTTCTTTCGTGTATCATGCCCTGAGCTGGTCTCATCTTCAGTATATACGTACCACTGGTGCTCGTAGGGAAGCTATGGCTATTTTTCAAGAACTCGCCCAGGCGAGTGTGCATTAACTTGTTTGACTAGAGGTGCTAGACGGTATAGCAGATACAAGGCCAAAACTTAGTCTCGTTATGGGTGAGACAGACATACTTTTCCCGTGAGCCACTCTTATTAATAATCAAGCATCCAGGTACAAACCTTACTTTTCGGTGAGTGAACAACTCACTGTATATTAGTGCGAATTTTCACTTGGCCTGACTGAGGTTGATCTGTGTCACTGGCAGGACTATATTCGGCGGTATTCGCAGTGGCCGTGCACTTGCTTATCGCTCGGAGGCGCAATGGGACGAATTGCATATCTCTTGTCGCAGTCACAGTACTGCTATTTGCCCTGTCATTGACACAAGTCGTGCTCAAGTTCTCCGTCGTCCTCATATTCTCATTCGCTGAGGGTGCTATCCTCGATAATGGTCTTCAAGACTTTCACAGTGTGATAACTTCCACTCAAAACCTCAACAATGTTGTGGCTGTTATTGGAGTATTTTTGATCGTGACGCAAAAGTATTTGTTGCCACAGGCTACCATCATAGAGTTGACGCTGAAACAATCCTATTAGTTTTATGGCCGACTGTTTGTTGGTAAGATTATGCAAGAGACTATACGAGCCGCTCGTTTACTATGTATGGCCTGGTGATCAGACTTGGCGGTGCTACATCATTTGGGGCCGCAGACGCCTGATTATTGCCTTCCCTGCTCTACTGATCGTAGCTGGCACTGGTGAGCCGACATCATCGAATTTCTCACCGACCAACCTCTAATGTATATTCAAAGTCGCGGGTTACGTCCTTGTGGGATATTATGTCAAAGGCTATCTCTTGATTAGGACTGCAGGCGCCAGCCCCAGTAGCCCATCACCTGTTTTAATGGAGGAATTCTTAGTCATTTCCGACATACAGAACGACCTTAATGAGGTCTTCTATGCAACAACATTTGCTTGTAATGTACTCATGACGACGTTGATTGGTATGTCTGATCACCTCATCCATGATCCCTTTCTGATAACATAACTGCCACTAGCATGTCGCATTTTGTGGGTCAGTAAGCATCTGAAACAAGCGTCAAACACGGTCGATTCGAATCTGTATAGAAATATAGTTGCTTTATTGTATGATTGCAATCCCGTATCCGAAGTACATCCTGATATTGTTCTAATACAGAACGGAATCTGGGGGCATACACTCCCTTCTGTTACTCCTATCCACAGTTACTGGGTTCTCCTCGTCACCAGGGCTAGCCGAAGCAAACGTGGGTGCTTTCCTGTCCTGGGATCTCCTGGCTTGACTATCACGTACTCTACAGATCCTTGTGTCCACGTTAGCTACTATCACCGCGGTGGGTTCCTTGTTGTGATCATAACTCACACATCTTTACTTTGCCACCATCAGGGCATGTCTCCGACTCTCATAATTGTGATGCTCGCTCTTGGAAAGACAGCTGAGCAAACAACTATGGACAAGACAACAATCGCTTTTGCAGCACCATCCGCGCCCGCCCGATCGCACGCCTTCAGCGTGAGTTTCCAACATACCGAAAATGCGGATGAACAGATGGATCTCCCCCATTTTCACCTGACACAAGGACCTACGGTGCCGGAGAAAGATCGTACCCCCGCAGGAAAGATGAGCTATGGAGTGGACGTATGAGCATTGAGCGCAACAGCGGAGGGGCTTTCGAACATCTTTCTCCTAGGACAGAAAGGGACATTACAAGGTTCAGGCGACCTGAGAGACAAGAATGGACCATGTCAGACGTGTCAAATTGTTGTATGAAATGCTTGTAGAAGTACGAGAAGTACTGTCGTTATCCGAGCTTATATACTGTAACTATACCTCTAATTCTAAGCGTCAGGAGGGACGCTGAAAGCAAGGGGGAGCAAGTCCGCAGATGGGACTCTAAAGCAAGTCAAACAAGTCCACAGGATTGGCTTGTTGTACCCGTTTCGCCGTAATAACCATTTCCTTTGGAAGTCTCTCGTCCCTCTCACCCATGATCATCTTACCGAGGGCCTCGCCGCAACCCCAAGCGTTGACCATCCCTTCACCCGTATATCCAGCAGAGACCCATTCGCCTCCACCTTTTCTTCTACTCACGCTCTGGGGCACTTTACCGACCCAAGGCAGCCAGTCCGCTGACATACCCAGCGAGCCCGTCCACCTGCCCTCCACCTCCACGCCCTTCAGGACCTTGGGATCGAATATCGAGGGGAGAATACCGAGCAAATGAGCACTGGCGAACAGCGCCTGGTCATCATCAGCGGCAACGCCGACGTCGTCGAGACCCTGGTTGCCGCTCTGCGCCCATCCTCCACCGTACATGATATGCCCAGAGGGGCGGATGGTAAGGTAGTCGAACCCCCTCTCGTAGATGAAGCTCCAAGAGCGCGATGCCCCTCCTGGAAGGTTGGGCTCGCGAGGCACTGGCAGGAGGGACGTCATCTGTCCGCGAAGTGGCAGGATCTTCTCCCTGAGCCCTGGGAGAAGGTGCGATACGTGGGCATTGGTGGCGTGCACAATCTGTTGGGCGGAGAGTGTCCCGCGGGATGTCCTTACGGTGTAGGATGATTGGAAGTTGGCAGGGGCCTGTATATCTAGAACTGCAGTATTTGACTCAATTGTGAATTTCGGGTATTGACGAGCAAGGGATTGTAGGATAGCTGTGACCAGTTTGTACGGTGAGAGAGCGCCGGCTGGCCCTGTTATTACTCCGTCTACATTGGTGAGAGAAAATTCCTGATTCCTTGGGTAATGCGTTCAAAGCGCGTCAATATCCACGACACTTACTTGACGTGCTTCGTCTTGATTCCATATCTTGTAATGGGTTTTCTCCGTCGGGTAGGCGTCCAGGAAGTCATGTAATCTTCGAACAGCATCTTCCCAGCAGTTCCGACCAAAATAGGCATCAACAGTATCCACCCGCCTGATCTCTGACGCTTCAGTTGCGGCGATGTCTTCAGCGACATCGAGTAACCGCTGCAGGTGTGACATCTGGAAATCAGTTATTTTCCTAGCGGCGGGTTCCCCGTATCTCCTCTTGAGTTTCTCGAAGTCGATATACGGCGACTCCTTGATGTGTCCGCCATTCCGTCCTGTTGCGCCCGAACATATTTCTCTGGCATCTACAACAGTGACGCATAGATCGCGTCCCTTTGGATTCCTGAGGATGGCCCTGGCGACGGCGCAGCCGGTAATTCCAGAGCCGATGATGAGGATATCCACCTCCTGAGGCAGCAGTTCGGACTGGAACCCACACAAAGGAGAGGCAGGCGTCTGCCAAGATGACCTGGTAGGAGAGGGCACCGGCAGTCCAGGAGATGTCCTGATCCGCGACTGGACCGCTCGGAAGTCATTGTTGAGATCTTGTATAGTCACGAGCAGTAGCTTCAGCTCTTGAATCACAGATAGTACCAGTCCCATACTCGTAGATACAGTAAGGTCAGAAAGAGAGAAAACATCAAAGAAAGTCTCAAGAGACCTTTTCATACACTTTGATAAATGTAATTTTCCCAAGGCCAGGAATACTCCCGAGGTTCTCGCGAACGCGGCATTGAAGCCACAGAGTCAATCAATCAAGCAAGGAGATATTTCAAGTATTTCAAGCCATATTCAGCAGACAATGATTCACAGGATAGGCTGTTAACGTCCTGGAAGTGGTGGTGTACGTGAGGAAATACTTGAACTCGGGTCATGATCAGTTCGCCCACTCTGTTTGCGACTCGGAGGACGTGGCTGCCACGCGACCCTCACGGGCTCCAGCATTCGAGTCTGAGCCGCCACAGCGGCCGTTTCTCACTGCCGCTCAACTGCCACTGCCTTCTTCCTCTCCTCCACCGTACTCGACGCTCGTTCCATGGCTAGTCTCGCCCGTGATACCACTGCTTTCAAGTCTGCGCTGCATAGACAAGACTACACGTCATGGCACTCGAACCCAGCGCCTGCGGGGGTGGTAGAGGGGGCGGCCTCGTCGTCGAAGGGGAAGGAGAAGGAGAAGGAGAAGGAGGCGGTGGTGGGTGGCAAGGCGAAGAAGAAGAAGCCCAAGCACAGTGAGTGCTGTCGTCTTTTGTTTGGGTGTAGCTGGATTGAGGTGTCTCCCTCCGGCAGATATTGTATACTCTCAGCCTGCAGATACGGGGACAGGCAGCAATGTAAATACCCAGCTGCTTTATGCTGTTAATCATCTAAAAGTGAGTGGCTACGCTCATTCAAGCTTGTCGACCGTTCATTGAGTTGCTGTTGCTCGTAGTCTAATCCTGGGCCTATGCGCTTACAAGACCTTGCCATCATTACCGCCACTCCTCTTGACACCGACCGCGTTCTCCTAGAGAAGTTCCGGAATCACGACAGAATCGAGTACAATCCCAAAAATGAAACATACTCGTATAGAGTACGTTACATGATCTTCGTGTTTGCATTGCCCTGAAATGAACGGGTCTCCAGCATGACTACACATTCAACAACAAAGCCGCCCTTCTGACAGAAATACAGAAGCACACCCGGCATGGAGGCGGGCTATCAATACGTACGCTGAAGGAATCGTGGAAAGAAGCTGCACAAGCGGTGGAAGAGCTCGAGCAGGAGGGCGAGGTGTATGTTACGCGGACGCAAAAGGACGGCCAGCCGCGGATGGTGTTTTGGAACGAGATAAAGTCTACCCAAGAGGGGGAGGGCAGGCCTGTCGAGAAAGGTCAGGGTTGTTTAGCCAGCGATGAACATTGACGGCTGAATATCCCTTAGAATTCCAGGATCTCTGGCACTCTCTGACGGTACCAGAAGAGCCCGATCTTATCAGGCAACTTGCATCTGGTCGGTTGTTATTCCTCCTTTCCTTCGCATTCGCTACCCGATGTCAGGCATACATCGGGTGGCGTCGCGATATAAAGATTCATTAGAGTGCAACACGTCCGTAGTGGATCACTACGGCATGTGCTGTGCTGGTGTACGTATGGCGTAACACAGTGCTAACTCCCCATTGCAGAGGGACTCCAGGCAACTGCTGCCGAGTCTGTTGCGCCCAAAGGCCCCGTGACGAAGAAGAAGGGGAAGAAGAGCGCGCCGAGGCAGAGGCAGGCGCGGATTACGAATGTGCATTTGAAGGGCCAGATCGATCTCAGTCGAGACTATGTGCCTCCTGCGAAGTAGTCCGGCGGCCACGGATTGCTGGATGTTGGACCCTGTGGAAGGGGGTCTTGGTCAGGTACGATATGTTGTTGTTAAGTACGTACCGTAAATGACTCGCTCTAAATGTATACACCGAGAGACGGTACCCAGTTATGAGTCATGTTTGAGCATACCAGATGTATACTCGTACAGTCACTATCTACAGTCATTATCCAATCCAGAACCACAGTTGGTCAACTTGTAATATTGGAGGGCATCACAATACAGCCAGACCAACGACCGTGCCCTGAAGCTGGGCTTGCACTTTCCCTCATCAACTTCAAACAGCTCCCGGTCCTCCGTACGAGCCGGTGCACTGTGATTGAGGTGAGACTAGGCTCGTAACCGCATTCTACAAGAGATCCAGGCAGAACCGATATTCTGCCCGACAGGATGATCACGAGCCTAAGGCGAACTGACATCAGGGAGAACTGTCCTGCCAATGAAGATCGGAGCTCTTTTGTTTCCTCCGCTGAGCATCTTAGGCTTATATATGGCACAGTTTTAACTCAGTTATATTGCATGCGAGATGTATAATACACTTCCTCGAACTGCAAGTCTTGAAGTTAACCCTCAACTGGTGCCACAGCCGTTGTGTTGGCGGCGAGTTTGTGGGGTAGCACAGCCACCCCCGCCGCATCATGAGACCAACTGGGAAAGGCTTACTTGAAGCTCGTTCTCCTGCGCAGCTATGGGATGAATGACTTGCTCACCAGATACTGACACGGATTCCGTTCTCCCTGGTCCCGTTTATCTTTCTACTCGGGCGCCTGTCTTGTAGCTGTCTTGTATATCGCAAACGACATCGCGGATCGTGCTTATGGGCTGCAAGTTGCAGGATGGCTCCTGACGCTTTTGTCTATGTCAGCCCTTCCTACCTATGCAATAATATCTCCTAGGGTGAATGACTACCTGGACAACAGGGCAGCAGCAGCAGTGGGGGCTGTCATGCCCACGAAATTGGTGCACAAGTGGCCTCTTGGCTTGGATATCGTCTACGATAATATGAATTCCTTCATAGATAATCTTCCGGGTAGATGCTACGCACGTTATCGGGTCCTCGGACTTGATCCTGAAATTGTTACTCTAGGAGACAATCTACTTCGATACATGCAGGACTATGGAGACATATTCCATTCTCGGATTCTTGGAGAGAATCGGGCGAGTATAGACTATAGTTCATCAGGACCATATAGCATCGGCACGCTGACCTCCATGTTATAAATAGTCACAGGTAGAACCCGAACATATCAAGGTAGCTGAGAACTTGGTACTGACCTGCCTACTGGTCGGCTCACCTGGGCCCTACTAGGCAATATTGGCGACAGAGTTCAATAACTTCGAGAAGGGTAAATTTACTTGAGTCCAATGGATATTACCATTCACTTCGTGTATCAGGTGCAGCATTCCAGAAACGGATGAAGTCTGTCCTCGGGACCGGCGTATTCAATTCAGATGGTAATTTGCATCGCACGCATTCGTCGCAGCATACCTGGCGGTTGCGTTTCAGGCGAGATGTGGAAGTGCGTTTTTAACTATAGGCTTGACTTAAGGCCCTCCCGTCTTCTCGTTCTCATCGGTACATGCAAATAGGTTTCAACGTTCCATGACCCGGCCACGCGGAGCCGAAGCGCCCGCGCATGAATATCCTGGCTTGTGCGTGGCTGAAGGCTTTGACGAAAACCGTGGAATGAGTGGCTCAGGTTTGCTTCGTTCGCGTACTTGGAGTGCACGGCGGACTCGCGGTAGGGGAATCCCGCCGAGAGGGAGTGCACATGGTGCCCTAATAAGAACTTAGTCGCGGAGTCCAGCGAAAATAGCGCCATCAGGTTCTAGCGTAAGGTTGATAGGGATGGAGTGAGAGGCTATGCGCGGATGATATGTACTTGGAGGTCGACGGCGTAGCCTTCCTTGAAGCGGGCCTTCATCTGGTCAATGCCGTTTTCCGCATTGCGATCAAAGATATGGAAGTGACTGATTGGGTCCTTTGTGAAGAAGGGGCGCTCTTCGAGTCGACTTCTGCCCGGACTCGGCGAAGAAGTGGTTGATCAATGCGTTTATTGAGCCGAGTCTGCAGGACGCCATTGAGATAAAGGAGAGCTATAAGGTAGTGGTAGAGGATGGCGGCGCGGAGAGGGAGTTGAAGGAAGGGAAACGTTGCTGGACCATTTGGTGCATTATACTGAATGTCGGGAGGAATCCTCGACGCGGTCGAGTGTCCTGACTTAAGGTGTTCCCTTCCAGATCAAACTATCTTGAAGGATGAGATCCTCAACATGCCCGTGGCTGGCCGCGATACAGTAGACATCGTTTATCGTGCTGCATGCATCCGATATTTACTAAGGATATGCAGACGGCGGGGACCTTGACCTTCACCCTCTACATGTTGTCGCAGCATGCAGACGTCCTGCACCGCCTACGGGAGGAGATCCTTGCAAAGGTAGCGCCCTCAAGGTGGCCTAGCTACGACGATCTCAGGGTGATGAAGTACTTGAGGGCAATAATAAACGGTATGTCGCGTTTCGTCACGTTGATGGTACCAGAATTGATGCGGTCTCATCCACTGGCAGAAACCTTGGGACTGTCCCATAAGGTGTAAGCCGCCCTCCGGTCCCACAGTCGTCCGCAATGCTAACGAGATATGCGTGACAGTCCGATGAATATCCGGTGCGCCCTGCTTTACTGCAATATTCCTCACCACTGAAGCGTCGGGGTATCTAGGACTTCGATTACAGCTACCACCTGGCCTTTCAGGAGACCAGACAGGAAGCCGTACTACATTCTGGCTGGAAGAAGGCTAGATATTTTGCATTATTCGCCTCGGCGTCCTTGCTGAATGCGACCGATACGTCAGGGTGCCATATTCAGTGATGCTTATGCACCGCCGGACAGATCTCTCGGGACCTGATATATAAGCAACCACTATTACAAGCTATAACACAATCTGTACCGGCATCCTCGTAGCTTTGCAGTTCGACCCTGATAGATTCATGGACGAACGCCTGCAAACCCGTTCATTTTCCTGCCCTTCAACGCCGGGCCAAGGATCTGTCTGGGGCAACAGGTGCTTCTTTCTCGAGCTCATCTGGCGTCTCTCTCTGAAAATGCCTTCCAATATCTAGTTTGTCTACAACGAGATGTCCTTCATGATGGTCGCCTCCTCCAACATTTCCCCGAAATCTCCCTCGCGCCAGACGCACAGCCCGAGTCCTCGAAGCCACCAGTAAGCTGGGCGACCGGCCATGAACGCAAGTCGGTGGAGAAGATATGGTCTGCGCAGCATTTGACCCTCTGCAAGGGTAAGCACGGTTCTCCCCACTATTGTTCTCGCTGACACCTGAGATACATTCTCGTGCACAGGAAGGGCTGTGGGTCAGAATGATCGAGGCAGCGGATGAAAGCACTGCTTGAAAATCTCTGCGAGAGCCCTGCTATGTGATGGACACTGTTCCATTCAAGTTCCGATTTCTGACAAGATGTCACGACATGCTGTCCACGATTGGTCTGTACAGGTTAGTCGTACAGGATGTGTAAAGCTATGAATTATGTGGTGCGGGCTATTTGCTAGCCATTGTTACCCGTGCTACATTCTGCCAAACGTCGAGTCAGATAAGCTTTACCTGTCGTTCTATACCCCGTGACTCCAAGTTTTCATCTGCTCCTTTCGAAGGACAGCCCGAGCTCCTTGGCAGTGCTGGCGGGAATGGCCCGGTATGCACAAGAGATGATGGCGATGTTGGAGCATTCATCGGCAGGACCTTCCGCCGCTGAGTGCTCTTCGGGATCGGATGCCTGTTGGCCAACCCTCCCCTCAGCGCCAATAGTATGCAGCGAGATCCAGAATAGTTCTACGGACTCCCACGTCGCACTGCCCTTCCATTGCTTCTGTACTGGCCTCTGAAGGATATAACCTCTTATCCGACCCGGGCGGCGTACCCTTGGGCAACCCACAACCCACAACCCTCTGCCACCTTCCTTGCTGCTTGTGCGAGGGTAGCACATTCCACATAATCACGAGCCATCGCGAGTATGGCACTCTGTTGCACAGGAGGCCGACACATGCCATTGCGTTCCAGCCATATCACAGGGGTTTGACTAGAACGGCAGGCTGACCTTGAGGAGGTAATTCCGGTAGTATAACCTGCCGAAAGCTGAGCACCTGCACGGACCTCAGAGTGTCTCATAGGTTGATTGATTACCTTCTATCAGGTATGCAGTGAAGGAAATACAGGAAGCTACCCTTAGGATGCTTAATACTCACATTCATACAGGACGGTGGTACCATCCGCGCTTTCGAGGAGATGAAGAAGGCGCGGCAAGGAGAGTGGCCACAAATGCTGCACTCAGGTCGACGTAGCCGAACGTTGCAATAAATTGCAGGTACCGCTGTTCTAGTCAGGGCACCCGTGGCAGTGGCGACGAGCATATATTCCGTCCTCTCCACGCCGAAACCATTCTACGAGCAGCGCATCGGCAAATCCAATGCAACGATACATGCGGCTGCTGTGTACCCTCAAGTGTTTTATGAACAAAGAGATTCGTCCTCGCCAAATTATAAAACGTACCCTGAACCATTAAGTCCCCAGAAAGTACGCAAGCTTCTTCCCTCCTCGCCCCCTGGTCAACTTTGACCAGCTGCCGCCAGAGCATCGTCAAATCCACTAACATCGTTTCACGTCAGTATAAAGATGTCCCCGTACTCAGCTTGGTATGATGAGGAGTTTGGAAGGTTGGTGGTCATCCTCGCAGACTAGCCGCGAAGCTGACGATAGTTCACCAGTGATGACGGCATGGCGGACCAGGAGTCAAGTAGTACTGACTGTGACGACTGGGCACGGGGCATGTAAGCTCTGACGTCCACTCGCGTGGGTGTTGTGCTGACTCCCGCACTCCCGCAGAGTGTATAGGTCGAAGCCAGTCCAGGCGAGCAACGGGCACAGGGGTATGCCGGGAGCCAAACCCAACGTCACCACAAGTGGAAGGAAGTTTAAGGGCAAGCAAGCTGAAGGTCAAAATACCTCACAGGGTAAAACGAATCCAATGGCTCGTTCCACTGGTAACATTGGCGGATCCAGCAATCCCAAACAACAGCCAAGCAAGAAGGTTGATACACCCACCTCTGCAAGCAAGAAGACGTAGCTCTGCGCAGTCAGCGATGAGCCTTCCTGGTTCAGCTTCACGGATCGAGATGGACTCATAATCAGAACGCACGTAATTTGAAAGGACCTGCAGATATTAACAGTGGCCGACTTCCTGTATGCCCAAGGTCTACGTTTGTAGTGATTGCACACAAGAGTACATTTGTCTTGCCCCCACCTCAACTTAAGATGCCGTGGGCAACTCTTAGTGGTGCGGCGAGGAATAAGGGAACCCGAGAGCAAAATCCGATGTTGAAATGGGCAGCTAACGTGCGTAGCGCTTGCTGCGGCTTCGGTACTCCACATTAATTAGTACTGATGAGCCGTCGATCCGTCGCGCCGAGTTTCGACTTCATGAGGCACAGGATACCATCGGTGGCAGTGGCCGATTAGAGTGGGAAGTCATAGCTACACAATCAGGTATGGAGAAGCACGGGCGCCTATAATGGTTCAAGACGCGGTGCGTCGACGAATTAAACGCACCGCAGACGGAACCTCGATCAGGCAGTTATTAGCAGGTTCGAGAAGGGCGCATCCTCGTCCAATCTCACTTGAAAATGCCCAACTGTGACGATATCAGTGACTATGAGAGTGGCGATGGGGAGATGAGAGCGATAGCAAGGAGCTCGGTGCTGAGAGGATGGATGTGTAATCTGCCAACGGTCTCCAGAGGCCGGCTCAAAGTATTCATTCCGAGAGAGCGTAGGAGATTCTAACCCGGGGGACGTCAGCGATGAGGCGGCACAGGATTGGGCTCAGAGCGTGAGAGGCACTACTCATCCGCCCTGGAGGGGCATTGACAGACCGTCGTGCGGATACAGACGGGGTCCACAGAAAGATTAGCAGATGTGGATACAACAACTAGAGGTATGGGCATACCGCAGGCTAAAAGGTGTCCGCGAAGAAAACGTCGAAGAGCCAGCGGAAGAATCCTTGCCAGCGGGTGCTCAAAGAAGCGAGATAACAAGAACACTACTGATGAACCTAGGAGTTCACAGACAGATGCCGATGAGGATCCGGAGGAGCAGGAGGGAACAGGAGACAATCGAAAGGCAAACGGGTTAGGGATACCACGCTGCGGTACGAAGCTGACCGGTCAGCGCTCCGTGCATCGCTGACTCGGACAGGGTGGTGCTGCTTGCTTAATAAAGATGAACAATGCATACCATGCCGGGTTGACAAGCGCCTGCTTGCGATACGGAGAAGCAAACGCCAACAAGGTACGGGGACACCTCCGTGATGACGATACAAAGGGAGCAAGGATCTGGAACTTACTGATGAGGGCTTACTGCAGCGAGCGTCCCAATGCGTGGAGCTATTCTGGCGCCGGACTAAACCCAGGCTGTTGCTTATGCATGCAGCAGCGCCTTTCTATCGCCCCCAGAATGAAAGGGGCCCATCCACCTCGCCCTGAAGTTTATGGAGGCTATATGTGACTCCATGCAACTTCCGCAGAGACAACTCTCCCCAGTTCGCGCGTGATAGTGATCCAACCGCTACGTACGTACCGCCACGAACATAACGCACAAGTCGTTCTGGTTTAGGCGCCTGCGAAGGCGGCGTGGAAACCAGTCGATCTTAAATTGACTGCGCCTCCCGATAACAAGCGCGCGGGATGGCCTATAAATGAAGTAAGCTGGCTTCCCTGCACTCGTACCAGCGTCCTCAAGGGATAGGCATTGGCGACCCCAGAAGCCTCGATTTTAACCATCGAAGTTACTCAAACATGGGCAGTAGGCACTGGGGATACGACGATGAGCAGGAGAACGACTATGAAAGGTATACGTTCCTCGACCAACAAACCGTCAACTGGCTCACTGGCAATCCAGGGAGCGTGATGAGGTAGACGAGGACGATGATCGAAACGGCGATGACATGTATGTTTCCCGATTATAAGCAGACATGGCAATTAACTAAGGAGTGGAATAGGGAGCGAGAGGAGGAGATGGAGTCGGATGCAGATGACTACGTCGAAGATTGGGCTCGCAATGTGTGAGTACGACTTGGCGTGAACCAAATAACGGCAGGCCTCCAGTATTCATGGTCCTTCTTTTGAACAGGAGAGACGGTCCAAGAGGACGGAGTCCAAGTCGGCGAGGTCCAAACGAGCGAGGCGTAGGAGCCCCAGCGATCCGCCCGGTATCCGGGAAGCCCAAGGAACCCAAAACAGACAAGAACAAGGATAAGAACGAAGACAAGGACAAGGATAAGAAAGTAGCCCGCCCCAGCAGAGATGATAACTCGGAGAAGGATGGAAAGAAAAATTAGACATGGTAGCGTTGCGGCACCATGATCCCGCCTTCCAAACACATTCGCACTTGACGTTGGAACAGCGTGTCAAGTTCCCTCATCAGCGACATTGGCGGGCGGCGACCGTTATGAATTCGGCTTCTTGTAGATAAGACAGTGAGGCAGTATCCGCGAGCGGGAACGCGCGAGTGTCAGGAAGCGCCAAATAATGTATACACTGCGAGAGTTCTTGGGCCTGCTGGATAAGAACGAGCTGATGTTCGAGATATCCGTGTCGGTGAAGGAATCCTGCGGGTCGGTTACCAGAGACGCCAGGTAAAACTGCTGCTGCCCGGCTAGGCCCCGACTTTCCGCATCGGCTGAGTGTTCATACGGGGTTTGTCGTGTGGATGTCTGAAAGAGGCCACAGAAGTTCCGATAGTAAGCGCTCTGGCCTGTAAAGACGCCGTGATAACCCTGGTTTTCCCTCTTGACGATATCGCTAAGCGCCAAAGATTGCAAGTAGTCAGTGTCAGTCAGTGTAGAATTCAGAAACCCCACCAGTCTCCTCGTAGAGATCATCAGTGCGTTATTATCCGAGTGCGTAAGGCCATGATAGTTCATGTGTCGTTCAGACGATGGCGACCTATTTCGGGGACGAGGAAGAGGGTTACATGTATGATAACAAGGATGAAGATGAGGATGACGACAGGCACGTTCTCCCTTCATCCCCTTCATCCCGTGTTGACTGTGGCTAGCGAGCATAAATCTGAAGGGTCCGTGGACGAGACCGGCGAAGTAGACGAGGAATCCGAGCCTGAGGCTGAAGACTGGGCGAAGAACGTGTAAGCACGGCGCCGCTCGGATGCACCGAATGCACACGGGAGTTCACAGAATATTTCCAGGATCACTGGTAGTTGGGATGATCAGAAAGGCCGCGACGCATATCCGCGGGGATCGAACGAGCGAGGAGTAGGCGCACCAGCCAGAAAGAATGTATCCAGCGTAGCGCCAAAACGCAAACCGACGAACCCAGATGTCAAGAAGCCTAACCCGTCAGAAAAGAGCAAGAGTGAACCAGGGCCTGCCTCGAGCAAAGAATCCAAGTCAAAGAAGGACACAAATCGCAAGTAGGAGATTTGGGTACATTTTCTCGACCTTCAGGACTACCAGTCGCGCTCGAATTTTGCTGAGTAGTATGCCTGCATTGTCTGCATTGTGATGGCGGAATTGCTTGAGTAGTTCGTCCACTTGAGTGCGGGACTTGAGCTGACTTGAGACTCGCGAACGCAATACTACGCTTGTACTACGCATCGCAAATCAGAGTGTGGCTTCGCGAATGTTACTGTGGCTGTTTGGTGGCTGTGCCGCAGTCCCTTGCTCTCCGCCACCATGACTGACGGCACTGCTAACGAGGTTGCCCGCTCCTCGGGAGTCTCTTTCTCGATTACTGATGTTAATACACTTTAGGGCACGCGTCCGTCCAAGCGACCGCGTTTGTCCGTTCCAAATGGCTTTGATGTCGGTCCTAGTCAGCCTGCGAGGAAACCACTCAAGCGACAACCGGCGCCCGTGATTTCGTCCTTTGACGACCCTTTCGCCCCACCAAAGCCAGGTCCAAAGCCACGTATCAGCAATGCTGCATCCCGCCCATTGTTTCAGCCTGTGCAAGACCCACCAGGCGTGCGGGATGCAAAGGGCAAGACGTCCACGGCGCACATGAAGGTGATGAAGCCTCCATCCATACAGGCACCTCAAGTACAGGATTCACTTTCTACCAGCGAGCACCGCATGCGCCGCATCTCCTGTGACCTCCGTCTGCCGACCGCGCCCAATGCTCCATCTACTTCTACACCCACTCCCCTCCGGAACCTTGCGCACATCGCTCCCGTCCTCTACACGAAACCATCACGTAGCAATCTACACGCTCTACCCGCCCCGGTCCTCCTCAAACCGCCCGCCCCGAGCGGCGTACCCATCACATCGCTGAACGACATGGATGCGATTGTGAGCCTCCTCCAGGAGAACAACCACGAAGCGATACCGGACGAGACGACGCACCTCATCCACGGCAGCCCAACGAAGAAGAAATTCCTCCGGTACGTTCCCGGCTCCTGTACTATTCGCCCTCCTTACCCTAACCCTAACCCTAGAGGCCGCCTCGCCGACCGCGCTAGTCACATCCTCGCCCGTTCGCAAACCTCGACCGCTCTCTTCCTCAAAGACCCCCAACACATCCGGCCCGACCTGTGCGTCCGCATCCTCCGCCCCGTGCACTTCACGCACGCGCCCACGCGCGCCCATACCCTCCACTCCGCGCTGATCCTGTGCAACACGCGCACGGACTCGGAGGACACGCAGCTGTTCTCCTTCCTCGTCAACGGTGACGGTCAGGAGGGCGACTTTCGGGAGGGAAGGGAGGTGCACGTCTGGCGGCCGTGGTTCCCTGTCGCGCTTGGCGAGCCTGGGACGGAGGCGCTGTTGTGTTCGCGGTTTTTGGTGCTTCCTGCTTGTCCCTAATTGCGACTCACGATAACATGGCGGTCTGAGGACAACGTATGGGATCCCCATTCCTTGCAGGTTAGTGCGCCGGACGCGAGAGGCTCCTCGCCCGGGCTCGCTAGACTGATCGTATAACTATCACTGCTCTCCTGCGTACACTGACGTTAAAATCACGGTTGGACTAGGCATACTACCTGCACGGGACGCATACACCGCCGATCGGTACCACCGTGGTATTCAGGCCATCACCCACGTCCCTCATCGTCCAGGCAGACGCCGCAGTACTATTAGTAGACAGTGACCCCGACTGGGCTGCGACTCTCGGGTCCATGTACTATGTGTGACGAATGCTACCATGTATCGTATAGTGCTAATGTATCCAATTAACCATCATACTACTATATCACGTACAGCCAACTATCCTCACGCCGCTAAGCTGCCTCGCCCCCCCTCCCAGCGCGCATAACCCTCTCCCTCCTCTCCCTCAACGCCCCCTCATACGCCTTGCACACCCACTTCACGTACGCGATGCCCTCGCGGTCGCCCGCCGCCACCAGCCGGTGGTGCAGCAGCTCCACGTCCGCGAACGTCAGCAGCGGCGGCACGCCATCGTCGCCGACCTCCGTCACGCCCGCCAGGCGCACGAGCGGCCGGGGCGCGTCGAGCGCCGTGCGTGTCGAGCGCAGCGGCGAAGGCGGCGGCGGCTCGCGCAGCGCGTGCGGCGGATAGAGATGGACGAAGGCGGCGAGGTGCAGGAGGGCGTCGTCCAGGGCGCCGGCGCTGTGTGAAAAAAAATCAGTTACTTAGAACAGATGACGCCAGGATGAGAGGCCACGCACGAAGTGATCACCCTGATCATCGCAGCGTGCATCCGCTCCACCATCCGCGGGTGCACGCCCGTCCCCTCCTCTCCTTGCCTCCACCGCGCCTCCACCCCCCGCCACTCCCTCCAGATCTCGCGCGCGAACGCCGCCGCCTCGCCCTTCTCGCGCTTCCGCTGCCGCCCGCCCGCGCAGCACTCGAGCGCCTCGACGTACGTCCGCGCGCTCTTCTGCACGCCGTGTGCCGCGAAGAGCGTGCGCCAGAGCGCGCGCGCGTCCGCGAGCGGCGCGTGCGCAAAGTGCACGGAGAGGTACGAGTTCAGGAGCCTGGTGGTGAGCGCAACGGCGGCGAAGGGGTTGCGCGGGGCGCCGTCACGCGGCTCGGTGATGCGCGAGAAGAGGAAGGCGGCTTCGCGCACGGTCTCGCCGTGGCTTTGAGGGGGGACATGCGATAACGTCTTCCCCTCGCTGGCGACTACTGGACCCGGCTCGTGTTGCTGCGCCGCCTCTTCCTCGCCGCGCTCTTCAGCACCAGACGGCTCACCCTCACGCTCCCCCTCGACGATCCGCGTATCCGTCCGCTTAAAGGGCGGCCTGTACGCCGCATACGCGTGGAAGACGTGCATCATCACCTCCTCCCCAATCACCACCCCCTCCCTCCCCTCCCGTTCCTTCACCATCTCCGCCAGTATCCACCTCACCCTTGCCAAATCGCCGAGCCGCTTCGCGCCCTCCAGCAGCGCGCAGAACGTCCGCTCATCCGGCTCGAACCGCGGCACACCCCGCGCGTCGCGCCACCCGTCCATCATCTCCCGCGCGAGCCTGAACGCCTCCCGCACGTACGCCTCCTCCCCGCTCCGCGCCAGCGCACGTATCGCCGCGTTGTAAGCGCCGCGCGTCGGCTCGAGGCGCGCGTCGAGCGTCATTTCCGCCCAGAGGTCGAGTGCGCGCTGCGGCTCGTCGGGCGGGCACGCGCGGATCATGAGTGCGTAGAGGAGCGCGTCGGGCTGCGGGTGCGCCGCGTAGCGCATGTGCGCGAAGAGGTCCCACGCGTGCGCGCGCGCGGCGGCGGAGGGGAGCGAGAGGAGAGCGGTGATGCAGCGCGTGTAGGTCCGCATCGGGGCGGGGAGCGCGCGCGATTCGTAGGCGTGCAGGAGGGAGAGCGCGGCTTCGGGCATGGTTTGCGGGGGAGTAGAGGCGAGGTGGGCTTTGATGTGGATGTGGCGTTGGCTTTCGGTTGGGTCACCTTTTGGGCGGAAGGTGAGAATTGAGGTTGTGCCGGGAGGTTATGTACGCACCTTTTATCAATTGGTGCATGAGCGATTCTACTTTGTGTACGTCTCCTGCTCTGGCGTAGAAGTTCAAGACTTCATTCATAGCCTCTTCGGGTATCGCCACCCCAAATTGCTGTTTGAATGGGTTCAATCCTTCCTGTTATCCTGGGAGAGGCGGAGGAAATACGTACATCAGCAAGAAATAGTGCCCTCTCCCCGGCTTGGATGTCGCCATCCCGAACCTTATGAACAGATTAGGCCCCCAGCACTCAGCACGAGAAACAAATACGTACAGCAGTTCGTACTAATGACGGCCAGTCAGACGGCCTCACATACTTCTTGATGGGAAAAGTAGACCGCTCCGTGTTGTCCATGAAGTACTGCAACTGTGAGAGGAGACGGTCGACGATCGAAGACGGAGCGACCACCTCGGACGTCGACGGGAAGTCAGTTTCGAACAGAAGTCGACCAGACACCTTTTCGAGTGCTATTCGATCGAGTTCCTCGACATTAACAGAAACCTCTGACGCGTCGGCGTGGGGAGTGGGAGCGGGAGTGGGAGCTTGCTCTTCCTCGGGTTTGGGGACAGCTAGCAGGTCTTCGTAGATGGAGAGGAGCTGCTGTTCGGTGTATGGCGGGACGTCCATCATAGATTCCTGTAAGTAACCATAGGTGAGTTCATGCACAAGATGAGGTGAATTGGTCGTACTTCGACCAGGACAGTATTCTTCAGAGCTTCTACACGTCTGTCCAGGTCCGAAAGTGCGCTGCCTTGGCGCACAGCTAGCCCATTACTTCCTCTTCTTTTACGGCTGGATCTCAAAGTAAGTCCTGCTGGACTCTGAACGGTAAGAAGATGCGAGGACACACACCGTCCGTAAAGCGTATTATTGACCGGCACGCTCTCCACGTCCTCGGGCGCCGCATACGCAACTGCTGCCTGGCTCATATGCCGCGCGAAGCACCTGCCTCGGAAGACGTCTACATGCATTGCGTGATAAGTAGGGTTCAGTCCAGACTGGCTCGACACGCGAAGCCATGTCAAGTCAAGCAGGGCCGGGGGAAGGAGAAGATGTCTTGACATGTCCTTGACGGTACCTCGTCAACCTTCAAGCAGTGTGCGTGGGTATAGTAGGTAGGCTGGGGTGAGTGCAATACAGGGCAGCGTCAAGGACGCTGAGCAGGCCCGTCAAAGTCTCCAGTAGCAGATTCGAGGGAAAAAGTAGGGTCACGTGGGATGTGTGGAAGGTGACACGTGACCGATCGCTTGTGTGACCTAGTCACGTTCCTTTGGCTTCATGAGAACGTCCAGGCGACTGGGAGGTTCGCCCGCCGAACGCGTTCGCGAACGTGTTCGGCGAATGTCTGGGCACGTGAGGGGATGCCACGCCACCTGAGCCTGGGGAATCGCCACACCGCAACTGTTATTGAGCGAGAAAGGCAATGGCGGCTATGCTTTCAATCCATAAAATACAGTTTGTTATGCACATATTATTGTACCATACCAGGGATATTGATGACGTGAATAGAGTAGTTTCCATGAATTTCAAGTTGTCCATCACATTTTCAATGCAATGCCAGTAGTATTGACCATGGAAACTGTTAGGGGGAGGGCACGGAAGGGGCTTCAATGGGTTCGTGTGACCCCAATTGGACAGACAGCTTCGATTACTCACCACATTTTTTTTACAATAACCCAGCAATTTCAATCTCACAGACTGATACAATAAACTTACAAGTTAAAACCATCAGGCTATGCAGATTTTATCATAAGCAGAAGGGGTACGCGTCTGTAGCCGGTGG